AGTAAGAGTATGATGAAACAAAATATAACGCAATATCCATTAGTTTGTTTCGTTCATCCTGCTTCAACGGTTTCCTGAGAATACAAGTTATTTTGAAAACGGTCAACTACAAGAAAAAAGACCCTTTTACGATGCGCAAAACACGACGCTCTTTGATTTATGTTACGCATTAGAGAGCGACATTAAAAAAGTGTCATCTCTTCAAAAATTTTAAGGATTTGGGTTGCACATTACTGAGTGCCCTTAAATTAGTGTCTCATGTAAAAATACTAAAAACACAGAAGGCACTTGTGCGTCGTCTGTGAATGTCGTTTTATATTTTTTTTAAGAAACGCACGTCTCGGAGGGAAAATGAAATCCCCAAATTTTTTAAACCACCACCTTCTTCTCCCTCGTCTCCACCCCTCATCCACATCCACTACCTCTGATCCTCATTTCCTCTTCTAGCCTCAAACTACGGCGATGCTCCTTCCTTCTCGAAGAATGCTTCATTTACCACCATCGTCCGATTATGTGAACCTAAGGAATTGACGGAGATGAAGAAGATTATGGATCAATTGCTTCACATCATGTTTAAGGTTAAGGGTTTGAGATTTCTTCCAAATCGACCCTCACACTAAATGGTTCGATCTCCTCTATTTTTACCTTGTTCCCTCTACTAATGCCTTCACCTTCTACCATCGATGTTGATCTTTGAATTAGCAACAAGAAGCCCTAGCACCTCCGCCTTCACCCACCTCCAGTGCCTACAAGAAGAAGCCCTAGGTCCCCCGCCTTCACCCACGTTCTCACAGTTGATCGTAAATCGGTTTTGATGTTCTTCCAAGATTCATGGCTTACACATCTCTCAATTATCTTCCTGTTGGTGGATCTTCTATTTTTTGCTCTCGAACGAGGGTTTTCTAGCTTCAGGTCTCGGATTTCTTTTAGGCCTTCTTCAACTGTACTCATGCATAAATTCTTTGGTAAGGTTTTTAATCGCTCTTTAATTTCGATTCTATGTTGTTTCCGTTAGTTAGTTTGCTTATTTTCTAAAACTCCCATAAATCCCCCTCTTATGATTCCTTCTAGACCTTAAAAACTTTTCAACACTTCCAAGTTTATCTTCTATAACTCCCATAGCATTAACAGAAAGCATAGACCCAACACATGATCCTAATGATTTTGAAGTTGGAAAGAGACATAAACTTGAGTTTATTAACATTTTTACTGATGATGGGAAGATAAATAGTAATGGAGGTTTAGGGTTTGTAAGGATGCCACGTTTTGAAGCTCGTGTTGCAATAACTGAGGCTTTGAAGTCTAACGTTTTTAATACCTTTCTTAATTTTTTGTCCAACCCTAAAAGACGCGAATACCCTTCTTATCTTCTTCATCAAATATGCATACAGGGACTTTATAAAGGGGAAGAAAAGAATGAGATGCGTTTAGGTGTTTGTTCTAGAAGCAATGATGTGATTGAACCTATGATTAAGCCTCAGTGGTATGTCAACTGCTATGGTATTGCTAAAGAAGCTCTTGATGCTGTAATGGATGAAAATAACAAGAAAATTGATATACTTCCAAAATAGTGTGCTGCTGAATGGAAAAGGTCACCTTCTCTAGTCTTTCATTCTACCTTTAAAATTGATATACACCATTTAAACTTTATTAATTAATTTTAAATTTTTTTGATTTTTACAGATGGCTTGAGAACATTCGTGATTGGTGTGTATCAAGGAAGCTTTGGTGGGGCCACCGAGTTCCTGCATGGTATGTGACATTGGAGGATGATAAATTGAAAGAGCTTGGAGCATACATGGATCATTGGGTGGTTGCTAGGGATGAGAATGTTAGGGTGCAAAGTTATTCATTCATGACTTTGTAAATGTTTGACTTTTGTAAAACCCACTTGCATGTGGTGCTTTAGCCTTTAGAACCATTTGTTAGTTAGAGTGAGAGAGAGACATGTAAACACCTCTATAAATAGTGGGTTCATACCACTTGTAGAGGTGTGCTTGAGAGATGTAAAAGTGAGTGTGTAAGTATGTGTTAATTATGTAGTCTAGATCTAGATCCTTTTTGTAAACACCATATACATTCAATATATCTCTTAAACACCCAAATCACCATGTTCAATTGTGTAAGCTTTAATTCCACATGCCAAACAATGTTTTATGTCTCTACAATTGGTATTAGAGCTTGGTTTTCACGATCAACATGACTTTTGAAGAATGATTCTCGGTTTGGCAATTTTTGTCGCAATTTGATCAATTTTGGTGAGTCTCTCTCTATGATCTCTCGTAATTTTTTATTCGTGCATTACGTTCTTGATTTTTGATCGTTTTGATTCATTGGATCTAATTTGTTTCAAATCTTATTGTTGATCCAATTATTTTTGTTTAGATCAAAACTAAATTCAAATCATTTTGTTTAAAACTCAATATGTTCACTGTTCATACCCGATTGATATTAGCCCAAAAACTAATATTCGATTACTGTTCATGTATCCGTTTAAGCCCAAATCGTGAAAATCCTTCATCCGATTCATTCAAATCGTCGATAGGTGTTCGTATTCTGACTTATACCTTCGCATATCTTACTTGTACTTTTAACTCATCTGTTGTGTGATGGCTAGTGATTCTTCAATCTCGTTGTCTCAATGTTTGTTAATCGGGTGATTGACTGAAAATCGTGATCGATTTATTGATTTTGTGTGTTCTTGAATCATATTTCTTTTAGAAATTGATCACAGATTTGATGATGTCATGAAATTTAGTAGAAGAAGAACATGAAAGAATTTGCTAACTTCTTTCGATTAATCTGAAAAATCAAATAGAAGGTGTTCGTTGATGTCGATTAGATTTGTAACTTGATTTGTGATCGATTGTCTTGATTATTGAATCAATTTCACTTCTGAAATTGAACGGTCAGACATTAAGAAAAGTCAAAATCGATTTTTTGGTTCATCGATAATCGAAGGAGATGGGTTGGAAATGAACTGAGAATAACGAATTCAGCTATTTGTTCGTTGAGTTTTGAAGATGGTGTTGATATCGATTCAAATTGTATGTTTTGATTGTCGATTTTGAATCGATAGTTTTGGGAACGAACTGAGACTCGCAATCGAATGGTTGATGCTTTGGTTTAAAGATGTTTTTGATTTCGCATGATTGAAGTCGATTTGATAATCAGAAAACGATGTGAACAGTTGAAGCAATTCGCATTTGATAAATTGATGATGACATGGAATCGAAATTGATTGTTGATGGTTTGTTATTGACAGTAAAGAATCGATGCCGACTGAAAAGATCTTGGAGTCGATTTTGGAATTGACGAGTAGTGTTCGCATGATTGGAATCAATAATCGAGTGTTGTGTTGTGTTTGACGTCGAATCTGGTGTATTTGGCTAAAAATCGAAGTGTGAATGGATTGATTTCGGTTGTTGATAGTTTGAAATTGATGAAGTCCAGAATCAAACTATGAATAGGTACTGGGAATTCGATAATTGGATACGTGTTTGATTGGATTCAATTTGCGAAGGATATATGTCGAGATTTTGGAATCAGATATCTGGATTGGGTTCGCATCTATAGAATGCGAAGAGAATTTAATGTTGATTTTGGTTTGCAATATTGAAGTTAGACAAAATGTTAATTCGCATTTTGTTATGAAACGGTGAATTCGCATTTGAAATCAAGAACTGTTCACATATGTGTGATTCAAAGTTGATTTCTCATTTAGGTTTCTTAGTCAAGTTCGCATTTGTTTAATGCAAAGGGATGCGAAGGAATGAAGAAGAAAACAAATATTTTTGCATTTGGTCCCTGCTCTTTTCAAGAAATAATATAAGTGGTCCAACTTCGCAAAATGGGGTAATAAAAAGACAAAAGTGCAGAATTTTCATTTCATATCCCTTCAGTCTTCGCAAGATGAAATTTTTTACCCAGTTTCGCATTTGGGGTAAAAGCATTGAAAAATTGGAAGATTTTCAAATCTGGTCCATGCAGTTTGTGCGAATTTACACATTTTACCCAGTTTTGCAAATTGGAGTGTGTTTCACATATTTGGCTATTTTTGGCGCACCGGGTCACTGTAGAATTTTGAAATTGACAATTTCTACCCATTTTGAGAAATTTTGTCAAAGGCGATCCGTGAACAGTAATAAAAATTGATTATTTTTTGGGTTTTCCAGATTGAAGCACAAAGTTTATGCCACATGTTAAGGGGGAGTTTTAACATGAAAAATTCCGAATAGAGCACGTTCTTTTTCCTTGGAGTTTTATAATCAAATTTCGATTATAAAAAGGGGGAGAAGTTTTATATGGAAATTCGAACTTGAATTTTTCATATTACGCGGATTTGAAGACCGAAGTGATCTTGGAGTTTTGAAGCTACGAGATGATGCAATTGGAAGTTTGGAAGTGATGTATTCGAAATGGGTTTGGAATTATTGAAGATTTTTGGGGTGTGTTTTTATGCGCAACTTTGGGTGATTATTTGGAGTTTGGAATACTCTTGATCATTCGTTGCTGCTCGGATTGTATGGTCTCACATCCTAGAGCCCAAATTGAAGAGTTGTGAAAGAATTGAAGATTTAAGTTCGTTTCGACATGTGTCACCTTTGAGGCTCGAACCGCGTAGTGCTTGATTTTGGAAGATTTGAAGTGGGTCATTCATTCCTAACTTTGAGGGGGAGAATGTTAGGGTGCAAAGTTATTCATTCATGACTTTGTAAATGTTTGACTTTTGTAAAACCCACTTGCATGTGGTGCTTTAGCCTTTAGACCCATTTGTTAGTTAGAGTGAGAGAGAGACATGTAAACACCTCTATAAATAGTGGGTTCATACCACTTGTAGAGGTGTGCTTGAGAGATGTAAAAGTGAGTGTGTAAGTGTGTGTTAATTATGTAGTCTAGATCTAGATCCTTTTTGTAAACACCATATACATTCAATATATCTCTTAAACACCCAAATCACCATGTTCAATTGTGCAAGCTTTAATTCTGCATGCCAAACCATGTTCTATGTCACTACAGAGAAAGAGGCTGAAGCTGAGGCTAAAAAGGTCTTTTCAGGGAAAAAGTTTGAATTGTCTCAAGATCCTGATGTTTTAGACACCTGGTTTTCTTCAGGGCTTTTCCCTTTATCTGTATTGGGGTGGCCTGATGATACTCAAGATTTGAAGACTTTTTATCCAACTGTTGTTCTTGAAACTAGGCATGACCTTTTGTTCTTTTGGGTTGCTGCTATGGTGATGCTTGAGATGATATTAGGAGGCGATGTACCTTTCCAAAAGGTTAGTTAAGTTTTTTAAATTATTTAAAATACTATAATGCAATTTTAGAAACAAATGAAAGTTGGATGCTATAGTACAGAAATTAAATGAAAGTATGTTGTTTTTGACTTATTTCCCGCTTTTAGCCCTATATCATCATGAGCCCCTGAAACACCGGTTCAGCTACATCTGATGTAAGAGGTTCTAACAGAGATATGGCCTCACTCAGACCAGTGCCAGCACAGGAAATGCCAACAGCCATGGCTAATCTTGATTTAATTTCTTTAATCCAGGTTGTGGGGACACCAAATTACATGTGCCCTGAACTGCTTGCAGATATTCCTTATGGCTTCAAATCAGATATATGGTCCCTAGGTCTTTATTTTTCATTACAATTTCAACATCACTTATGACACAAGGGTGAAATGGTCATTTACTCATATACCCCAACTTGGGTTGAGTATGCATAATAATTTCATGAAGTTACCCTTCTTAAACTTGAGCCAAAACTTTAAGCCACATGTTTGTTGCTTTTCATTTCGCACTTATTTTTTGTAGGTGTTTAATGAAATAAACAGCTGTAACATTAACAAGATTAATATTTTTGGTTGGATATCAGTTTACTTATCTTGTATCCACTGCTTTTAGTGTTTTTCCATCCTTTTTTCTTCATCTTCGAAGAAAAAACAGAGAGATAATTAAAGTAAGTGTTGTTTGTTATTATTTTTTTATATTAATTATCTGATAATATGGTTGTTATTGGTGCAGGAAAATTTAGGTCTGATAAAGTTATTAGTTGCAAATTACAAGCCGAAGGGTTGCAAATGCATATGAAGGGCATGGTGGAGGCTCTGCTGAGCTGGCAGAGTACGAACAAGAGTCATTTTTAGGCAAAGGTTAGTGAAAGATCTAGATTTATATCTTGTGATAAATTGTTATTGAAATATAATAAATGGAATGGATGATGATATGTTGTTACAGGTGAAGCTACTGCTTGAAATGCTTGTGAAGAAATGTGGTATTGATGTTGTTAAGGAAGTTATGCCTGAAGAACATATGAGGCTACTTACTAATATTAGAAAGGTTTGCTGAAGATTTAATGTTTTTTTCTAGGTGAGTTTTTTTTGTTAATATTTTTCTTAACAATATATATTAAGAATAATCTTTGATTTTTTTTTTTGTTTTGTTTGTATAAAGATATTGACAATAGAGGATGGTTACTGGATCACCTCTTTTTTTGAAAGATGAAGTTGGTAAGAGCCTGTTTTTAGGGTCCATTCAAGTTATAGTTGTTGCTTTTAAGAAACGGGAAGTCAGTCTTTGTCATGATGACTGCTATAAGCAGAGTGATGAAATGGATCAAGTTGAGCTAATAGAGAACAGAAGACTAGACAATTACTACAAAAATACATTAGTTTTCCATGTTGGTAACTAAAAAGAATAGAAATATAGCATAGCCTGACTCATATTATTTAGGTCTCTCAACAAAGCCTATGTTATTAAAGATTCAAACGTGGAACCATGGAATCTCTCCGCTATATTATTGTTAAAAGACAACAATACCCTTTGGTAGATGTTGAAGCACAATATAAAATATAACATGTATGCGTACTTTGAAGTTTATGCAGGTTTCTTGGACTTTCTCCTCTGAGAGGTTTCTTCACAATCTCTTGTTTCTGGTGTGCAACATCAACAACAATAATTTCTTCTCTTGGGCTAAAGAGATAATGACACATGCCAAGGTTCTCTCTCTCTCTCTCTCTCTATCTCTCTCTGTATGTGTGTGTATACCTGCAGTTGCACATGTAGTTTGTGATCAACTGATTTCTTATAGGAATACAAGATGATGACTTGTATTCCATCATTATCTCAAAAGGAAATACTTGTTAAGCTCTTTCAATCTGTTGGGACATACAACACCTATCCAGGCTGGATCCCTTCTACTTGTGGGCCCATTTCTTGATTACTGGTTAACAAAAAAGAGAGTCAACATGTTTAAATAGGATATTTCCTCTATGGTGAGTAAGAGTATATTTATACCAATATAAACCAATAATTGTTAACAGAATCATGGTTTTATCTGTGTAGGATTTCTTGGTGTTATTGCTAGAAGATAAGTAATTGGTCGAAAATCCTATGACTGATGCTTGGTTGCTGAAGAATAGAAAAAGTCCTTGGGCTGGGAAGAAAGAAGGTTTACAGGGCTGTTGGATCTTTTATTGAACTCACTCCTGATGCATCTGAAGTTGTAAGTCTATTTGTTCCCTGGAGGATAATATTGTAATTGTTCTACTTGTTCTAAAGCTACATCCCTATCATATACACACAGTTAAATTTTACAAATTTATCCCAACCTAATACCCATACGCATATGTCCATTTTAACACACGCCTACATTCAACTATCTACAATAGAAAACCATCATTTAGAATAAAAAAAATATATTAAAATTTAAATATAAGTAAGCATATAGCTGCAACCTAACTTCTAGAATAAATTTCAACTGTGTCTTGGGTTGGCATTGCCTCTCACTAAGTTTTGCAAGCTGAAATTTTACCAGATGTTAATAAACTTAATAAAATACTAAAAAAAAGACTTTTTAGTTTTTAATATAATATTACCAAAAAAAATATTGGAATTCTAACTTACATGAACTGTTTGCATATGCAGTAAATCCGCAAGTGCTTTTTTCCTCGACTTTTAATGTGAAAAAAGAATCAAAGTATTATGTATCAGAAACATAAATTTACAAATATATAGAAAATTACAATTATGCCCTTGTATACCGATTGGTTAGTAGCCCAACGTTCATAATAGTGAGTATATCTCTCTAAAGAATTCTTTGCCATTTCACTACTGTGTTTAGATTCATCATACTATAAATGGAAGTGGAATGAATTACAAGATTAAAGATTTGAGACTTTAAAAAATGAATAATTGTAATGTTTTATTGAATTTAGAGTAAAATACAATTAGTTTTATTACATGATGTTTATAATTCATGCATGTTTACAGCTGCATTTGCAACCTTGTTCTAACATCAAACCTACATGTCGTATTTAATTGTTTATTTACAGTTGTGTCCCTGAACTATTCTGTATTAACATCCATAAGCCTTTTGTTCTCATGTTAGTTAAGATTCATAAAGATACTTATGTTCTAGCTGAATATAAATAAGTCTTTCTAGTAGCCCCACCCTTATCCTTAGCAACATAGTTAATTACATTAGCATCTAATGTAATTCGGTTCTGCTTACAGTAACGAGGAAGAAGCAAGCCACTGTATCTAGAAGTTTTGGAGGAAACGAGACTCAAGAAAAAAGCAAACACACGGACAGTTGTTGGCAGATAGTAAGCTAGATAATGCAATTGTATATTTTGCTTCTCTTGAGTTAATTTTTTTTATAACATTTACTCACTATTGGAATAATTATTTGTATTTGATATATTATTGAAATGAATTATCTTTGTTATTTATGGTATTTTATTTGTATGACATTAAATTTTATGCAATGGATTGTATTTTTTGTATATGATATTTATTTTCTATTATGAGACATTAAATACAAATTTAATTTGAAAATTAGTAAATCTGTAAATATTTTTTTTTTAAACATTTAAATTTATGATACGCAAAAATGTGTGTCATCTTCATTTATGACATGACCTTTCTTGACAGGGGATTTCTTGATACGCATTGCGTGTCATTAACACGCGCGTCGTAAGGTTACGACACACGAATGCGTGTCATCTTCCTTTATGATAGGGCCTTCTTTGATACGCATTGCATGTCGTAAACCCGCATCGTAATTGCGCGTCGTAAATGCGCGTCGTCTATAGACGACGTGCAAAAGCGCGTCGTTACTCTTTATGACAGGGCCTTCCTTGACACGCATTTGCGTGTCGTCTGAGCCTTTTACGACGCGCAATGAGCGTCGTAAAAGGATATTTTTCTAGTAGTGGTCAACATAAAAATGTTGGTGAGTTCATAAGCATGTTTGTGAAAATGATTTGTATAACATGGTAAACCACCAGAAAATCCAATATTTTCTGAAAACTATTTAGTGTGTTTGTGTTAGATCTTGTATTAATGCATGTATGTTATCGTTTATTTGACTAAAAGGTAAAGAGAATGTAGAGAGAATGTAAGAGCATGTAAATAGAAGGTTCCCAGACAACCTGATGTTGCCTGGGAAAAAAGAATGATCTTCCTTAAACTTCATAACGTTAATTCCTCTAAGCCGTCATAACCATACTAAATAATGACAATTTCACCTGTATTGGCGTCGTTGGACGCCAATTTTGACTTTGATTATAAGGTTTTCGTCACCCTAGACTAAGTTAGTCTAACTGTGGCGAACAACTCAGGTGTGGGGTGTCATCCCCATATATATCTATACACAAATCCCCGTTCTCCCTACAAGAGACTCTGGTTATAACTACAGGCTACAATCGTACTTAATAGGTGTCAACCGACAAAACTCACTAGATCCTTAATCGAATTTACGTGAAGAAAAAGGTATAAACTCCTTCCAGGCCCAATGATCCATGTAAGTGAACCACTAAGGCATCGCTAAACATGTAAATCATTTCAAGACCCAATTAGAATGAAATTATATAACATGGGCCCGAAATATATATGAAAGGACAACTAAGGCCCATTTCACATGTAAAGTATTTACAGGCCCAAATAGCACACAAATAGTATCCAAGGTTACGTCGCACATGTTAATGGGTCAATGAGGCTCAATAAACATATCAAACAGTATACAGGACCTCTCACACATAAAAACGGGCCACTGAGGCCCAATAACCTAGAAAATGATCAAATTAATCCGTTTGTTAGTTTATCGTTGGTTTTGGTTCAAGTATTTACTAAAATATCAAAAGAAAGAAGAACACATATAAAACTCATTCCTAGGCCCAATAAACATGTAAGTGGACCACTAAGACCCACTATACGTGTCTATTATTTCCAGGCTCAAAGGAATATGATTGTCTATCCTAAGCCTAATATACATGTAAAAGGACACTAAGGCCCACTAAACATGTATATTATTTCTAGGCCTGATAAGGATATGCATATCGTTTTTAACCCGTTTGCTATTGTTTTGTTATTGTAGCTTGATTATTTACAAAGTTGATATAAAAGCCAATTTTTTGTAAAATTAACGTTCTTTGCCCAATAAGCCAAAAATTTAGAAATTAAGGCCCAATTTTTGTAAGAATAACACTTTAATCTCCATTTTGTTCAAAACTTGTGTTAATGACTAGTTTGTGGTAAAAATAACATTTTAAACCTATTTTTGTCAAAATATAATTTTTTGCTTGATTTTTGTGGAAATACACATTTTTCTGGTTTTGGGTCTTTCCGACCTAGTTTTTGGAAAATTTGTAGAAAAACCATCGTAAGTCAAAATTTGGATCTGTAAATTCTGGAATTTTGGAAATTTTGTCTACTTTGTTCACAATTTTTCTCATAATTTTTAATGGCTTCTAAAAAGTGTGAAATTGCTCACCTTCACAGGCTGGTCCAAAAGTATTTTAAATTTGATAGGCAGTTTTGTAAAATTCGCCAAAAATTGTAGAAAAATTGGATGAAAATGTGAGAGTAGTCATTTTAAAGGTATAAATATGAACGTTATACATGTAAAACAGTTTTGAAAAATACTTCCATTAAGAGGGTCAAAACAGTTCGAGATTGGACCAAAACTTTCCTGTCAAGGGCTGTTTTATGAGTTTAATTTATAGATCTTACAACACAACACTCATTTTTGCTATTTAAAGTGTAAAAATCTCAGATGTACTATTTTAAATGTATTATATGTGATAAAACATACTTTTATCAAGGTTCTTATAAAGATCCAAGTGATAAACTTCAAGTTGTTAACATATTTTTAGATTAATGAAGAAATCAACACATAATCACCAAATAATTTATGGAAAACACACACAGTCATGCATATATACACATAGATCTACACAAATCAACTTGTATT